AACAGTCTTCTGATTGGTGGTTTCTCGCTGAACGGTAATCTTTCATCTCTTTGTGGCCGTTTCTTGGAGTTCAGATTATCTATCTGCAAATTGTATCCGCCTACGCAAAGTCTGCTGTGATTGGTTGTTGAGTCAGTCTTTGTTCTAAATTTTTCACCACCAATATTGAGGACGTAAACATTGACGTAAATTACTGTCTACGAATTCGGCTAGCAGTCAGCTCTCACCACAGTAGTAGTAGTTCTAGTTTGATTGTTACTGAATTGTATTCAACATGTGTAACGACTGAAACCAACGTTTTGTTGTCTGAATGCAGGAAACCGATCTCTGCGTTCTATCGTATAGCTAACTGACTAAACCTTCCTTGAGTTACACACAGTCACGAAATGCTCCAAGGAGACAGAAAACCACAGACAGTTACTTGTGATAAAATCCTGCGTTACTAATCAACAATCATAATATATCAAAATGCACAATTACCTCGACAATCTCGTTAGGCAGCTAAACAGACAAGTTAACCTTTCTATGTACAAAACAAGTACTTTGGAACAAAATTAGTTAACCAAAATTCAACCGTAAGAAGTACCTGAGAATCAAGAAGAATATTCCTGAAATGGTGAAATCAAAACTCTGTCCACAAGAATTACGCGTCAAACAATTTTTCGCACACATTTCAAGGTCAGGATGACTTTGATTCACTCAAACAAAGTTTCAGTCGTAAGACGACACATTATCCACACACACGCACACACAACAACAACAAAGAGTAGAATTAAAATCAGAGATTAAGACAAATAATAAGGATCAACTTTGCTTATGATATGTAAACGTCAGAACAGCGATTTATAATCTAAGTGAATGTGGGGATAATAGTTACAAAGTTGGTTGGAATGTTTAAATAAGTATCAGTGTTGTAAATAGACCGTGCTGGAGGGATTTGCCGAACTTTTATTCCGTTTCGAGGTGTACATTGGTGACTAGTTTCTGGTTGACAGCATTCCTTCAGGCTTTTGTTTATCTGAGCTGTATGAAGAATACTAACTGGCGGTCTGAATCATATAGTAAGCCTACACGTAATAGCTGGTTAGAGTTTAGTTTTAATATTTGCAAAATGATGGAATTTGTGGTGTACTTCCTTCCGTAGCTGGTGTGTGACAACTATTTCATACGTACCGGTCGATCGTTTTAAGGAAGTTCGACTGTTTAACTTAACAGTTGAAAGTAATGACGCCTGGGATATGAGAACAATCTTTGACTAAAAATTAGTCACATAGGTTCAGATCAAAATTTATCCATTACTTAGTTGGAGACAGCCAGAACAAGAATCTAGAATACATGTTTCCTCTCTTATGAGACTCGTCATCTGTGTGTTCCTGCATCTTAAATGAATGTTGTATTTATTAGCAATGGCATCTGATACTCATTGCACAAGAGATGGACTTCTCAGTCTTAGTGGCCTGGAGGATAACATTTTATCATTTCAGACGGTGAGTACTGGATTCAAGTCTCAACTGGAACATCACCATTCGATGGTTGAAGGCAATTGGCAGGAAGCCTTCCAGCTAGGTTTCGTGCTTGTTGGTGCGAACCAGTCAGCAAGGCGTATGTGCGATCTTGAAGGGATTCATGTCCCCTCTGAGATTCGAACCCTCATCACCCAGTGCTGCAGTCAGAGACTTTACCACTGAGCCTTTCACAGACTCTCGAGTGACCTCCTATAAGACTTCATTGGATTCTTTGATTAGACGCTAACTAGCGTCATGTATCTTGCCCGTTGTTTGGTGTAGATTGAATTCTGTCATCCGAGTTTGCAATGTTCCCACCATGCAACTCGACTGACAGTATTCAATCTACACCAAACAATGGGCAAGATACATGACGCTAGTTAGTGCCCAATCAAAGTGCATCACCATTCATGAAGAATGCCTAAGTATCCGATTGAAGAGTCTCAGGTGGTTCGAAACACATATCCTAGATGCTACTGCAAGCCACCACCAACCAAACAGCATTTTGTTCCCCTTAAGGCACCATTTAGGTATCCGTACAGATATCGACGATCTCGGTCCAATATAGTCAATCGAAGGGAAAATTTGAAAAGGCATAGGTCAGTGAATAATATGCCTCACGCAACTTCATTCTAAATCTGTACACTCATTTCCTTATTTCCTTAAAAGGGATGTACTTTTGTAAAAGGTCAGGAAAATGTTTATGAGGTCAATTCCGCATATCGGATTGGCAACAAAACGCATAGATTTACATATAAAAAAAATAATGTTATCTAAACATAATAAGTGGTGAGTATCACTCAGAAATGATTACCAGTAAAATCTATAAGTGCTTTAGAAGAGGAAGATTGTTCAAAACAGTAAGAGACTGAGAATATTAATAAAGTATATTGTAAAGTTAGGGGTTTGAAAGGAAGAGATAAGACGAAAGCAAACCTCAAATAAACATGGACTATATACCAAGTTTAATTGAATTTGAAATTTTCCCGTCGATTGATTGAACCGAAGTGCTCGGTCTCAGGTTGACATGTCGGCTTTTTGTGCAGATGCTTCGACGATGTCTGGGCATTTAATTAGAATTTAATTTGTGGATGGTGACTAGAGACCGAGGGAGACCGAGCACTTCGGTCCAATCAATCGACGGGAAAATTTCAAATTCAATTAAATAATTAATATAACCCGTTGTACAAGAGGTGGCTGTCGTGGCCCAAGTGGTCTAGTGGATAACGCGTTGGCGTTTGAAACTATGGGCACTGGGCTCGAGCCTCGTAGGGCCTATGGCGAGTTGTCATCTGAAGTGGTGACGACTAGTGGCGTCCGTCAAGGATGCCCATTATCCCCATTCCTATTCAATTTCATCATAGACGTACTAATGGATTTAACCCTATCACACTTCAGCGACTCAGGGATTGACTTGCTACCAGGGAATAATCTCGTTGACTTAGAATATGCGGACGATATAGTCCTTCTAGGCGAGGACTCTGACAAAATGCAGAGTCTACTGAACACCCTGAGCAACAATCTCCGTATGTTTGGCATGCGATTCGCCCCTGTAAAATGTAAAATGATGCTGCAGGATTGGACCTCTTCGACCCCTAGATTAGAAATAGGAAGTGAAGTGGTAGATCACGTTGACCGCTTCAATTACTTGGGAAGTACCATCAGCCAGTACCAACGGGTTGATCTCCGACGAAATTTCAGCACGAATACAGAGGGCTAGGTTCGCATTCGCCAGTTTTCGCCGTCTCTGGCGTAGACGCGATATCCGACTATCGACCAAAGGGCGTGTGTACTGCTCAACAGTCCGCTCCGTCCTCCTTTATGGCTGTGAGACCTGGCCATTGAGAGCAGAAAACATGAAAAGATTAGCTGTCTTCGATCATAGGTGTCTGCGTTCTATCTCCCGCGTGAAGTGGTATAATAAGGTGAGCAATATTGAGGTTAGGCTCCGGTCGAGTGCTAGGTAAGGCGGGGAAATCAATCGACGAAACGGTGAAATTACTTCGACTGAGATGGTTAGGACATGTGCTACGTATGCCTAGTCATCGCCTTCCTCGACAACGGGCAATGTTAGCTGATATAGGGCCAGGCTGCAAAAGAGCTAGCGGCGGTCAAACGAAAACATGGCACCAATCAATGAAATCTACAACAGTTAATCTAAGCCACATAGGAAGATGTAGACTTCCTGGTTGGGGTCCTCGGGACGGTAAAAACCAATGGTTGGAAACAATTGGTGACATGGCTCAAAATCGTTCTCAGTGGCGCAGATGCATCCACTCCTTGTGACTTATGATTTCCAATTAAACTGTTTTGTTCTCCGTTATTACTATTCCTTTGTCTCACAACTCTGTTTACTGTTTCCATTATGCATTTCTTCTACTTCCTTCTCTTGCTTTGCGTGCTACATAGATTGTGGCGACTTGAACTGCTGCACATATGTGCAAAGTTCTATGTCGAAAACCGAAACCGACCGTGACAATTATAGGTGTTTTGCAATGGATGATGCTGGATTTCTATTCGGATTAATTGCATCGGGATTTTCTGTGTGTTTTAGTAACCATTTTGGAACAGGTTCTTTCCGACGACATTGGAACATTCTTTTGGTTTTGCCTATAAAGTTGTCACCACAACTGTGGGTGAACTTGTAGATAGGGTTTTAAATAGAGGCCGTAGAATTTCGTTCTTTAAATGTGGGTACAGGGATCGGAAATGTTCGAGATGTCAGGGGAAGAGATGCGGCGTAGAATGTGCGTTTGATGGCTGACCGAAGTCTTTGAGCTGTCAACTGCATAATTTGATCATCCTTGAATGGAAGGTTAATAAAGGCAGCTTTCTTTGGTACAGAAGCTGTCTTTTCAAGATGTGGTGTATCCTTACTGTGACAACTGATAAAGTCTTCTGGATAGTCATTAGCTAATAAAACTGTATATATATATATATATGTCGAAGCTCATCCATCAATGTGTCACTCGTGCATATTTTTCGGGCCCTTGAGAACAAACATTTCACTAGGGGACGTTTATACTGGATAGAAACAAAACTGGTGAAATGAAGATATTGTCCTCTCCATGTCTGTTTACGAAAAATAGATCGCTTAATCGTTGCATCATCTTTCTTAGTTATTGAAATATCTAAGAAACCGAGTTTGTTGTTCGATTCGATTCGAATCCCGAAGTCACTCGGATATTTGGATGAATATGATTAAATAGAGTTACAAAGTTTTCAACAGATTTACTATTATTACCAATCATCCACATAACGTTTATATAGCATAAATTTTCCTAGCATACCTTGCATTTGTTTCTCCGGTTTTTATTTGCCTTTCTATATTTAAGCGGGTGTAGAAGTGCGAATTTTTGTGTACTGCAAATCCGACAGACGCAGTAATCTCTTAGTTATATACTTCCTTTTAATCTTTCACGATTTGAAGAAGTTATTCTTAAATGAAGCTGTTTATTGTCTTTGTTCTTTTAACTATTATTTCTTTCCGTATAGGAATGCCTACGACATTTGAATCAGTTAGTTACAGAGCTGTCAAAACATCACTCATCAGGGGAGAAAGCTTCTGCGTTAAACAAAACTCGATGCAATCTAGAGTCTAGTAGTGAGAATACTAACAACAACAATAATGGCTGTAATAACAGTGATGATGTCGATTATTTGGATTTTCTCAATGAATCTGTCTTTACATTGCGACAAGCGTTAGAACGTATGATTCAAGTAAGTGATATAGGCGTATTTTATTAGCTGTAGAAATATGTCCAATTTTTCATCTATGTTAGTATATACTACTGAATGGTATCAGTAGTTGGAATTCATTCATATCAGACAGTTGTGGTTTTCAACCGAGTCGAATTGATGTAAACGCCAGACGGGTGTTTAGCTCATATAACAACATTATTTCTTATTCTACGATTTTATCGGTAGTAATATTTGCCAAATCGCTGGTATTAATGAAGAGTCATTCCTATTGCACATGTTGTTACGTGTAGATTCGATGAACAAAGATTCAGTAATCAACCTCTCTATCCATCTACCTATATTACTTTTTAGAAGTGTAACTCTGCCTCATCCCATTGTGTGATTCTGTGTTAATGCATGGCATTGTAGTTGGTGAGTTCTTCTCTGAACTATTCATCTTCGTGGAGTCAATCATTCTACACTTGGCTAAATTCTTATGCTCACAGAATCATTCACTGACTGACTTCACCCCCTCAACTAACTTCCTACGTCCAAACCCTTATTGTCGTTGATTAAATTATACCTGTCACCTAAAATGAGAGATAGAACGCAGATTATTATTTATTATTGTTCCTTTGGGTTCCTAGTGGAACATAGGGCTTCAACTGCACGTCTCCACTTGCTTCTCTCTTCTGCTGTACTTTTCACCTGCATCCATGTTAGTCCATACTGTTTCAGCTCCTCTTCACACGATCTCCTCCATGTCACCCTTGGACGTCTCACTCGCCGCTTCCCTTTCGGGTTCCACTCGAGCTATGGCCTGACGCGCGATGTCACCCAACGGCCTCCTCAGCGAGTGTCCAATCCACCTCCACTTTCTCCTGCACATTTGTTGGGCGATTGGTTCTTGTTTTGTTTGTTCCCATAGTTTCTTGCTGGTGGTTCTTTCCAGCCATGTGATCTTCAGTATAGAGCCAGCGAAGACAGTTGTTGATAAAGGTCTGCAAAAGGCTGTTGGAAATATTCTTGGTGACACACTGGCCAAGTTTCTGATTCGTATAGAAGAACTGACTGACTTGACGTTTGTATTGAAAATCCGAATTTTGTTGTTGATATTGAGTTGAGTGACGAAGATTTCCAGATTGGTTTCAGGTTGATGAATGTGTTTCTCGCCTTCCCGATTCTCGCTCGATTTGACATCCTCGTGCGTTCCTCCTGTAGTTGAGACAATGATCCCTAGATAAGTGAATTGAATGAAGTAACCTCTTTCAAATTCCTCCCGTTGATGGTGAATGGCGCTGGATGTTGCTGTTGTTGTTGGTTGGTTATTTTCATAACCTCCGTCTTGTCTATGTTCACCTGGAGTCCTGTCTTTGCTGCTTCTTCGACCAGTTTGTCGGTTTTCGCTTGTAAGTCTTCGATTTTGTGTGACATCAAACATAAATCATCCACGCGCGAAATCCAGGTCTTCTAGGTTCTTCACGTCGGTCCAGGATATCCCTGTCTTCTCGGTTCCCACTGTCTGACGCATAATCCAGTCCACCACAATTAGGAATATCATTGGTGATAATAAGCACCCTTGTCTGACTCCTGTGTTTACTCTAAACGCCTCGCTGAGTTTTCCGTTGTGGATCACTTGACACGTGCCGTTGTCGTACAGCTGTTGAATAAGGTTGATGAATATTTGGGGTACGCCGTAGTACTCGAGTAGTTTCCAAATTACTTCGCGGTCAACACTGTCGAAGGCCTTCTCAAAGTCTATGAAGTTGAGGTAGAGGTTTGATTGCCATTCCATGCTTTGTTAGATGATAATGCGTAGAGTTTCAATTTGGTCAGAACATGATTTGCCTTTCCTGAATCCAGCTTGTTCTGGTCGCAGTTCTGTATCCAGTGTGTCGTTTATTCTCTCCAGGATGATGCGACTCAGAATTTTACTTGGCGTTGATAGGAGCATGATACCTCGCCAGTTCTTGCACAGTCCTAACTCGCCTTTCTTTGGTAGTTCCACGAGGTAAGCTTTCCTCGAGTCAGTTGGCACCTTTCCTTCTTTCCAGACCTAGAATGCAGATACCTGTCGTCAAACACGATTATTATTCGCTTCAATCTCCCACTTTCAATGGTCGTATTTCACAGTCGTAAAGAAGAAGAAGAAGAAGAAGAACAACAACAACAACAACAAGAACAGAGTGAACTGCTAGGCAGTACACATATGCTGTTTGCTCGATAGTCGGATAAGGCATCTACATTGAAGATGATGTAAGTTGGTGAATGGTAGATGGGTCTTCATATCCGAACTGAACAAAGAGGCATTCAATGCTTGAGTCATCTCACACACACACGCATATATATATATATATATATACAAACACCGAAAAACCAGTAGAGTTATACTTTAGAACATACTATAAATGTAAACAATAATGCACTGTCTGAAATATATGAGTTGGACATTGCGATACAGTAGAATTTTTAATAATAATAATAATAATTTGCTTTATTCCAAAACAGCACTTATGTTACACTGTGGAATTCTCAGCCTTCTTTACAATATTCTGTCTGATAATTTACTCGACAACAGCAAAAACAAAAATTGAAAAAAATAATAATAATACAGGATTGATAGTAGCAGCTTTCTTGGTATTTGTAGTGACAGTGATGTCAAAAACATACAAAAAGTGTAAAATGATGATGATGGCAATGTAAGCAACTAAAATTATAAGCTAACTGAAAAAGTGTCATCATAGATCACAAGTAGGAGAGAATAAAAGAGCTGGTTGTTTCCCTAACAGTGCATAGTGAGTCGTAGGTTTCGCGCCTAAAATTGTCTGTATCACATAGGAGGCGGGCCAAGTAGGGTATTGATGAGTTTCTGTACTGCACAATTGATATGATTATGAACAATAAATTTTGTTCGAAACGTCATCCAGTAAATAATACTGTTTCACTGTGTGATATACCTAATAAACAAACTAATATGGAGTTTCTGTACTTGGTTGTGTGAGCAAGCACATAATCTTTCATAATGACTACTAATGCTACCTGATGAGATGCAATGGTGGGAGAGTGTTGAAGGTCAGACAGTATGTATTTCGACCATTTCTCACATGAGTTCAGGTATCTGTCCATCGACTGCAGTAGTAACAAGTTAACTTAGTGGAACACTACTTTCACTACTGAAAACCTTTATTATCCTGCGCAAAATCACATATCACTTTTTTTAGTGGCTCATGAAATACTAAGTGGGAGCAGTAAAATACAATAGGTAAGATGCAAGAGTTAAAAAACTGTAAAACAGGCTGAGTGACCCCAAACTTTCTCAACTTCTTAATATAGAAGGCTAGACAGCTCTTTTCCTTAGAATTTCACAAGATATTGAATGATGAAGGAAGATCAGACGATAGAACTATTCCGTGGTATTTCATGATATTTCAGTTCCGTCCATACAACAAGCATCATGTGAACGGACCAGTTCTTGTAGATCAGGTTTAGGCCTAAAGGTGAAGTTAATTACCTGATATTCAGAGGGATGTAAGGCAACACCACTTAGCTTAGACCAGTGACTGATATCCAACGGAAAGCTGTTTAGTTTTGAACAGTCAGATCGGGGCGTAACTGGTAATGAGTCTGTCAGACAGACAGATTGTGACGAACAGTCACCATGAACTTCGGAATTTAAAAAATTTGGCTTTTTTGTTTACTTAGGATTAAAATTTTCCCCATACACTTTTGATACTCTCATTTCTGCAAGTATAGCTGAGTAATCATGTAGTTTCATGTGGTTAGGTAGTTGTGGAAAACTCTTATTTGCGTAAGGATAAACAACTTCAAATTTGAAGGGAATATTAAGGTTGACAATGTTACAGTAAGCAACACAGTTGTGGATTTCATATTTTCTATATTGGATATGGTATTCGTTAACAAACTGATCTGCATATCCTGAGTGAGTCGCAGTTCTAAATCGTGGAAACGTTTGGCTTATTATTATTTATTATTGTTTCCTTGGGTGTCGAGTGCAAGATAGAGCTTCAACAACATGCCTACACTTTGTTCTGTTTTCTGCTGTGCTCTTTAGCTAGGTTCACGATTGCCCATAATCTCTCATCTCCTCCTCACACGATCTCCTCCATATCACCCTCGGACGACCCACTCATCGCTTCCCATTTGGGTTCCACTCGAGCGATGGCCTAGCGTGCAATTTATTCGACGGTCTTCTCAGTGTGTGCCACTCCGTCTTCATTTTCTACATCATATTTCTCGAGCAATAGGTCCTTGGTTGGTTTGTTCCCAGCCACAGTTTCTTGTTGTTATTTCTTTCTGGCCGGTTGGCCATTTGATCTTCAGTATGGAGCGAAGGTAGTTGTTGATAAAAGTCTTCAGTAACCTGTTAAAAATGTCCTCGATGACGCATTCGCAGAGTTCATGACCCATATAGGAGAACTGATTGACTTGACATTGATGTTGGAAATTCGAATTTTGGTGTTTATGCTGAGTGCAGTGCAGAAGATTTCCAAACTGGTTTCAGGTTGACGAAGGCGTATCTTACCTTTCCAATTCTGGCCTGCTTTGACATCTTCATCCGTTCCGCCAGTAGTCGAAACGATGCTTCCTAGATAAGTGAAGGAGGTAACCTCTGTTAAATCTTTCTTGTTGATGGTGAATGGTGCTAGTTGTTGTTGTTGTTGTTGCTGTTAGTTGGTGGCACAGCGGTTAGGACTCTCGCCGACCATGCACATGGTCCGAGGTTCGATCCCCCGCCGACGCACACCTGATATCTATGGTCGGCCTGCTAAATTTGGGCTACCGATATCACATGCTGAAAATTTCATACTTGTACCAAAAATACGGTGTGGAATCAAGCTGTAATAAAAAATTTAATGTTTTTCTGTGTCACCCGTGATATAAAATCGTGTATTTTTATAGTTCAAAATATTATTGTAACTTCTTTTGAAAATCAAGGTGTTCGTACTACAAATTAATATCGGTGCGTCATCAATGGAACCAGAAACTAGCAATAGATGCACTACTAACTGATATGTGTAACTGAAGACACACCAATGAATAGTGTTCGTTAACCGAGGTTATCTAATCATCAGACAGTCGCTTTACTCATGCAGAATTGTTCAGACCTATCGTAAATTTGGTTACAGGATTTTATCATCAGCTGACATTGGTTAGAGAAACACTGGAAACCAGCCATAGGGAGTACTGGACAGCCGTTTTGTCCTAGTGCTTGGGACTCTTCATCAGCACACACACCAGGGTTCGAACCTAGGACCTTCCGTTTGCAAGGTGAGCTCGTGGAACATTCGGTCATTGAGAACCGATCCAGTGGCCAGTCCATGAATTCCAACTCGTGATATAGCGAGAGTACTAGCCCGACCTACTGTACCTCCACTATCGTCAGTTTGTTAGCTACTTAAATGAACTGTTTTATCACACACTAGGTTGTTTTTTCGATGATGAATCTAAGTAGTGAGTGTTACTTAGGCTTTCATAGAAATGCTTTGTCTACCTTGTGAGCTCTAGTAATCGTTAGTGATTGTTAGATATGACTGTAACAGCCTAAAGGTATTTCGCCATTGTTTGTACATCGTGCGTCGGTGGCACAGTGGTTAGGACTCTCGCCGACCATGCACATGGTCCGGGGTTCGAGCCCCTGCCGGCGCACACTCGATATCTATGGTATGCCTGAATTTGGGCAACCGATATCCATGCTGAAAATTCCACACTTGTACTGAAAATACGGTGTGGAATCAAGCTGTAAATCAAAAAAAAAAAAAAAAAAAAAGTACACCTTCTCAGGGTGAGTAAATTTTTATTTTTGACATTTGATCATTAATTTCACATTGTATTGGCGTCAGTTTGGAGTAATTGTGCCACGGTTCTGTAATACTAACAGATTGAATATATATGGCCGTATCAACCAATCTTTGTTAGTTTCTTATTGGAGGTATTGTTTTCCTCGATTGGGATTATTATTTCCACATTTTAACAGTTCATTGTTACTTCTTATATTTATGTAAATAAATTAGTTTTATTATTTTTATTTTACAGGTTGCTGATCATATCAATGAACGTAAACGTTATCGTGAATTTTTAGATCAGTTGCGTTCAACTCGATTGGATGTAGATAATTGGGGTGATATCGTACTGTGTGATTATTTTCGTATACCGGGTAAAAAAGATCTACGCTTAGTTCTACTGTTCCAGTGTGCTCTAATTCTATGTAAATATACACAACCTAGTGGTAACATACACGTATCAAGTACTCAATCACTATCTGTAAATGATAACTGGATCAGTAATACAATGACAACCACCACCACCACAACAACAACAGCTACAATGACCACCTCAACAGGACCACGTAATAGTTTAGATCGTGTAGGACCAGGAAATTCAAGTCTCTGGAATTTGAATGTTAGATCCATTGAAATACGTGAAGTAATCAGTGTGAGTTGATTAATTATTGTCCTATTGTTTCAGTTTTTATTCATTATTGGTTCATCTTGTGGTCAGTTATGTTTTCTCTTAGAAAAGGATCATAAAACCTAACTTTTTTCCAGTATCCCAAAAATAAGTATCTGCTTGTTGGAAATCATCACTAGAAGTAGAATGTAGGATGTATGTTTCGTGCTATTCGGAACTCTTTGTCTCAATGTGTCTTCAGCTCTGTGTGAGTAGTAATGTTCTCACTGGGATTCGAACCCAACACCTATCTCTTCGAAAAACCAGAGTGTTATCCACTGGATCACCTCATGTATATTTGGCATAATTTGATATTATTTATGCATAAAATTATATACTACTGGTAGACTGGGATGAGTAGTTGCACACCACTCACACTAACCGGTCGTGTTTGTTAGGCAGATCAAAGTGTTAAGGGCTCAGTTCGTCAGTTATGTACCCGGTTTGAGTCAGCTTGATGGTGAACTGATTGAAAAGAGACTCTTCGCTGAATCACTTGTTTTGATTTTTTATGTTTCCCAATGAGAATTTTCCTCTGCTTAAAAAGCAGTCAATGTTTCTCCGTAGAAATTTATTTAGCTGTTGATTAAGTAATAAAAGAGTATACTTTGGTTTCTGACACTGGAACACTTCTGTTGATTGAGTAAGACAGCGTTTTTATTAATTAATTGATTTATTGAGAACAGATTTTCCATGTGTCAGGCTGTGAGCGATACTCATTCGTTGGCGGTTGATAGTAATACTCATTTGTCCAGGTTGAATTAAGCGAGATGGGACTCAAAACCCTCTACTTATTGGTTGAAAAGCGAGTGTTTAACCAAATGAGCTACATCTCTACTAGATAGAAGTAACTCAGCGTCACACGGATGTGTGTCGAATCCGAACAGCTGAACTAGTGAGTATGCTAGTTTACCTTAAGGAGCTGGCAAACCCTGATTCCAAACTATGGTGTGTATGGCCTCCATAATCCGAACCTGTTTTTGGTCATCAGCAACCATGGGAAGGTGGTTCTTGACGCTGCTCAATTGCCCTGTGGATTGGACTTGTAGTCAAAGGCTTGAAAAAGAGGTGACTCCTTAAGAAGAACCATGTGCTTAGGTCTGGCCGTCCCAGTCCTTGCACAAACTATAAGATTGTGTGTGGCGCATTTCTTGATGCCCATAACATACCAAGTTCTAACAAATAATAATAATAATGAACATATTTTTAGCCGACTATGGCAATCAGTAAATACTGATCAGGTTGTCTAGCTTAGTTATGAAACGTCAACCGCTGAATACCGGTCACTACCCAAATAGGTATCTTACTTCAAATCTGACTTGAAATTCAAGTCATGCTAGTAACTTTACGGTTTTCGTATATTCCAGCCATCAATTTTAGGAATTTTTATGAAGGGAGATTTAGTTTAGTTACACACATTTTTCCTCCATGTTGCTTTTTTCTACTTTTAAATATATTATCTGAGTAGTATTCATATTCATTGGTCCATTCTTAGAATAGACTTATGAACAAACATTTAAATCGCAATTCAGCCATAAATTTAGTTTTTCTTTTGTATTCTCTTTCTGAAAGTAATTAAATTACCGATTGGAAAGTTTTATTTCATCTCTTGATTTGCTCTCTTTACCCAGGGCATTTTATATAATGCGCAGTATACATCCATCCCTATGTAGACCAATTTGAGAGACGGCTAAATTATTATCATTATCATTATTTTCTTTTTTGCTTTCCTATATTATTCTGAACGATGAGGGAAAAATTTAGTTTCATTGTTGTATTTCCAGTTGTTTTTTTTCATCCTGCTTGATAATGACTAATCTCAGAGTTTTAATCAGTTGTTTTTTTCTCCCAGTGCATGTTGCAAAACTAAGCATGATGACTAACCCAGTTTTTATGCCTCTGTGAAAATAAATAACAATTGAGAAAAGAGTCAACTTTTAATCAGACTGTCTATGGTAGCTGGGTCTTTTATAACCTAGTCGTACTATAATAGATTGATGTTTGCGGGTTGATTGGAAATAATGTCTTTTGGTGTAGGTTTCAAACTGGAAACTTTGAGTTTGAGGAGTTTTGTAGGTGACTAGAGAGGTGTCAGTTTTTACGTGACTTCTAGATGACATTTGTGCGTCGGTGGCACAACGATAGAATGCTTGGCGGCCACGAATGTGGTCCGGGGTTCGATCCCCGACCGACTCACTCATTTACCTCGCTAAGTCAGTAATAAGATGGGTAAAGGGAGAAGGTTAGGCATAAGGCTAGCAACCCTAGCCCGTAAAAGTAAATACCACTGCTACCGGAACTTCTAGCTTCTTAGCTTGAAACCTCTCTGTTTTCCACTAGGAACGTAAGGGAATCGAACTAATAAAAAAACTAGGTGGCATAGCGTGGCAGGTCATCGGTCGAGTGGAAGTCGAATGGGAAACGACAAGTTGTACGTCTAACGGTGACATGAACGAGTTGAAAGCTTGTAGGCAACCGTAAGACCAACTGAAGAGGGCTGTAGAGAGCAGGATAGAATTGACGTATTCTACTGAAGTTCTATATTCTACCTGGAACCAAAGTGAATAATAATGGTTTAGGTGACTAAATACGCCAGTTTGGCATCAAACTAAACGAGTCTGATAATCAAACGTGAATTACCTGGGAATTAAGGATTTGCAACTCTTCTTTCTATGGATCTAATAGCAGTGTTTACTAATATACCACCTTTTTGAGCGGTTTTCACACACTTCACGCAGGTGTATTCTATTTTTATTTTACTATATCTAGTGTTGAAAGACTATTTTGAGTCATCCGCGTCCAAACACCTGTTTTTCATAAATATAATTCTCAGTTTGCAAATTAGTTTGCGATTTACAAAGTTCGAGGAGGTGACGTTTCGTCACTGAAATTTCTTTCAGAAACCGAAATTATTGAGATCACAATGTGTGTGTGATCTGCTTGTTACTACTACCAGAAGCAGTAATCAAGAAATCAAGCACATTTGCGTAAAACTGTATGCTACTGATTGGTTGAGATAGGTAGCTAGACTCCGTTCACATCAACATGTAGTGCTTACTAGCCAGATTGAAGTTATCTAAACACCGGACGGCTGTTTGATGTATGGGATTACCAGTTCACCCAAGTAGCTAACCCGAAATCGGATGGTTTGAATTGATTCGGTTCTCTGAACTGAGCCCCAAACGAGCTAAACAGCCATCTGGTGTTTGAATCTCTGTGATCTGGCAAGCAAATACGACTGGTTGATATGAGTGGTAAACAACTACTTATATCGGTCAGTCAGTAGTATGTGGTTTTTGTTTCTCATAACATTTCTTCTCTCTGTGTGATTCCTTTAATTGCAGTGACTGATGTTAGTTCACTTATGTTGTTATAACGGAGGAGATTTATAACTCAAGTAGATGTTTTCAGTGTTTTTGCGTTCTTTGAGCTGAATGGTTTCACAGCGAAACTTTTATTGTCCTTCTGGACAATATCTTCACCGCTTACTTCAACTTGAAGGATGAGTGAAGCGGAGGGGGGCGAATATTTGTCTTTAATTGTCATTGGTTATTCTCTTTGATTTCCTTGTGATTGTGTCCACTTGGGTTGTTATATACGTATCAGTTGATCAGTTTTGTTGTTATTCCCTAATAATCACACACTCCCCTTCTTTTGTTTCATTTCTTTTCTTGCCTTACAGTGTGCCAATTTAATGTTAGTTGAATGCATTGATAAAGATCCACTGGCCTTCCACATACTACCATTCGATAATCCTAAAGCTCAGCGTACTTTACAAGCAATCAGTCTGGAGACTAAACGTTTATGGTGTCGTGAAATAAAACGATTAATCTTAGAGAATTATGATGCTGCTATACCAGAAAGAGCTAAACAAATAGTTTTAAATATGGCTGAATTAACTTATGGCCCGCCTATTAAAGATATTTCTGATCTACCAATGAGTTTAACTAATTTACAAAAAGTTGGAACGTTTTATGCTGGTCAACAACGAAATGGTTTGATGATGAATGAAGAACGGTCAGCAAGTGGTCGAGTTCATCGTAAAAGTGATACAGCTCTTCCACGTAAGAGGATATGTCCTTTTTTTCTTCTTCTTCTAAATGGAGTGTCTTTTGACGTTTTTTTTAAAAAAAAAATACAAACAGTTGAAGGGTAGTGGTGGTTATAACAAGTTGATCGATTAATGCATTAATTTGTTTTCTGAACATACAAATTTGGCTTCTTCAGGTGGATTCCAGAGGTTTCAACTGTATGTAGAAGACGAACACTCATAATGCGAAATTACGATTAGTAGGAATGCGATAAATAACTTTAAATGCTTTATTAATATCAATTCTGTGCTCACCATCTACATGGCGTGCTAAAGCAGAGCCACGAACGGATCTTGTTTGTCACTTTCTTAACCATGCTAGGTGATGTTCAGAGATACAGTGATGAACGTGTTTATTTGTACGCCTAATGTAACCTAGTTGCACAGGAACAGTCGAACTGGTAAATACACACATGTTCTAACTGCACTCCCTCGCTCATATTGCTGCACAAAGACAACCAAGGACATCAATTCGACTGGAACAACGTTCAAATATTAGACAGAGGAAACACCAAGAATGCTAGAGAATTTTTAGAAACCTGTTATTCCAGTGAATCGTCAATCAACAGACACATCGACATAAACAAAATTTACCAACCGATAAGAAGGAAATCTCACACACAAAGGGTTAAAGTTCAGGTCAAGGAAACAATCAGTTCCAATATAAGTATCCCACAGGGTGTGAAAACACAAAAACAATCACTCATGTTCAAAGTGACCAGGAGAGATGACTAATAAACTCGTGGAGAAATCTAAAAGCTCACTTCAATTCAACTTGAAGTATGCGCTGGAGATGTTGCCTAGTGGGGCAATTAAAGCTTCGCAAATAAACCATCCAGCTCAGAGAACACAACTGCATCAAAGTCATCTACCTGAGCTACAAATCGTCTCCATCATTTGTTATCGGTAGTCTCCAGCCATTGGATCCTAGTCTCAGAAGGACACCAACCAGGCAGTCTTCACTTGCTTACCTGGCTTAAACGAACAACTAAATACCACATAGATTGCTAATGGGTTTCTATTTGACCACTTCTAATTTGTTTTCAGCCTAATCCTATGTCAGCTAACATTTGTCGACTAGGAAGGCGATAGCTTTGTGGTATGTTATGTACGAAAGAAACTAAGGATAGGAAAATAAATGTTCCAATATAAACCGAATGTGATATGTTTGTAAGTATAGCCACATTTGGTTGTGATCGACAGTACGTGATAACTGAGCTACCAGTGTGTGAATTGTGGTCTGTTAAGTGCTTTACTAGATAAATTTCAATAGTCTCTTTACTCTATACAACAATATTAACTGTCATGATTAAATTTCGTTATTATTATTATTATTATTAATTCTGTCCTACAACTGTTATCGTATTAATTATGTGTAGGTCTCCGACGTCTTGTCAATCGATCAATCAGTAGCACTAATGCTCCACTTGCTTCCAATTTCATTCGCACACCGAATCCATCATTAGATGAGGATACTGTGGAAGCGAGAATACCTTCTGTGACAAATAGATGTATGTTGAATGGTAACAGTAAGCATAACAGCAGAGACTCCTTATCTTTTGATAATGGTAATAATTCTACTGAGAGACATCTTGATTCTTTACTGCATGAAGCATGGGAAGAAATTTGGGCTAAACATCATTCCCCTGTTAAGCCAAATGGGAGCATATCCACAAGTGGTGCTGGTGTTGTTGTATCTCCTGCTGTTAATGGTCAGTTAAATCCCCTGAGAAATACTCATCATCACAATAGTAAAGGAGGAGGGGAGAAGGCAGAAGATGATAGTCGTTGTTTACCTGGTGGTGATGATGGTACATTGACAACGAATACTACTACTGTCAATGAGGCAGATTTTCGATGTATAGCTGTAGAGATTAATGAAGAACGATTTGGTCTTTCATCACCATCATCAACACAGTCGATAACTTCAAATTGTACAGTCAGTGAAACACGAAAGTGTTCAGTGCCTTCGTTATCAAAATTAAGCAATACTTCTTCTACAAATCATTTTATAAATCATTCAGGTATGTATTTAATTTTGTATTGAAGTTTTCGTTGTTTTTGTTGTTGTTGATTAAAAGTGTCTATTACAGATTTCAAAAGAGTGATTAGCGGACAAAGAATATCCTTTTTTTTCGTTAACTTCTTTGTTAAGTTCTACACATAGGCATAAATTAACTGCTGAGTTCAGACCTTCCAGAGACATTGGCTAGCGGTTGCGCTATATCGTGAATTGGCAGAAGTTAGAATTCATGGGCCATTGGATATGGCGGGTCCCAGTGGCTTAATGGTATACGAGCTCGCCTTGTAACCAGAAGGTACTGGATTCGAACCCCGGTGGGTGCGTACTGCTGAAGAGTCCCAAGCTAGGACGAAACAGCTCTCCAGTACTCCCTGCAGGTTTTCCAATGGTTCTCTTACCAATGTCAGCTCATGATGAAAATCCTGTAACCAATCAACCAAATCCCTACAAACCAATACTTGAATAATTCATGTTGGTTTTGGTTTGACCACCACTAGCTTTCTCTTTTCCACCCTGACCCTATATGAGTCAGCTAACATTGCCCGTGGAGGAAGGCGATGGCTAGGCATGCATGACTAACGCATGTCCTAACCATCTCAATCGAAGTAACTTCAGAACCTCATTAATTGACATTCCCTCCTTACTTAACACTCGGCGCGTAACCTCAATATATTACTTACCCTACTATACTACCTAACATAGGAGGTAGAACGCAGACACCAATGATCAAAGACAGATAACATTTTATGTCTTTCAATGGCCATGTCTCACAGCGATAAAGGAGGTTGTAGCGGACTGCTGCTGTGCAGTAAACATGCTCTTTGGTTTACAGCCAGCTGGATATCACGTTTACTAAGCCATAGAGGGTGTAACTTGGCAAATGCCAAACGACTGATTGCTTCTACGTGGATGTGGTGGTCGGGCTTCCATATTGCAATGACCCAGCAAGCTACACTGGCTGCAACTAATGTTCCTACAGGTCTTGCCATGCCAGGAAGATTGTTAGGATAGTGATTAGAGTAAAAGATTTACGGGCATAATGTAAGACTTTCTACACTATGCTAGGGGTCTGTGAGCGAAGTTATACTGCCGGGGGATAGGGATTTAATACCAGTGAGGTGCCAGCTATGCCTATCTCTCCACTGTGGAGAGAAAGGGCGTTAGAGAAGGTCAACCTCGAAAATTGTACATCCTGACTTACCCTACTGTGGCGCGTACCTGGAGGTAAGTTACTAATATGGAACCAAACCAAAAAGCCAGTTTAAACAGACAGTGTGACCGGCCTCAAGCAGTTGTCACGTGGGCTCTGAGGTCACACAACACCATTTCTCTTTGTTTTTGAGGTACACGAAGAATCAATCAACTCCCACGGTGTGGGGAGCCGGGAGGTAACAACCGCCTACACACTTCCAAAAGCACACGAAGCCTTTCCGATCATTGCGAAAAAATAATACAGAGCTTATGAATTTATAAGCTTTTCACAGTAGGCCAGGGTAGCGGTAACGGCTGAACCTGTTTCTTTCTCACTCACAGTTTTGGTTGCTTCAAGAGAATTGCTATGGCTTCTACTGTTTGGAGTATTCGGTTTCTAGAGGCCTTTGAAAATTTATTTGTTATCCGATAGATGATAGTAAAAGATTCTTGAATACTGGTCTTATGGCCTATCTGGAAAAAGTGATCTAATATCGAAGTCCTAATGGTTTTCACTACACCTTTATTTAGCCACACTGGTAGGTGTTCCGTAGCACGAGAAACCAAGTTTCTTGAATAACGGGTAACACAGCTGGTGGCTCTACAGGAGCACTGGAATTCATAGATACAATGGGATTAGTGACTAGTCTAGACACTCCGTCTTTCAGTTGAGGAATCATAACCGGTAACTTGCTGGCAATCAAACCTCTTTGAATTGATTTTCTTAACACGTTTTACTTATTACTTCACCTGGTACACATCACCTTTGGTCTCATATGTTTCCTTATAAAGTTATCGAAAAGAATATCGTCTGTGCACTAATCAGTTTTGTAAAAAGTAGTTTTTTATTAATTAATCGGTATCTGTGTTTAAAATCTACTTACTGTAAAGCATGGGGGGCATTGAATAGTTATTCAAATACACTGCACTGTTTATTTTTGCATGTGTGTGTGTAAGTGTGATTTTATACGTCTGTAATGGGAATGGCAGCATGTCGGGAGTTCCGTCTTTCTGTCAGTACTATTTTAAGATTAGTGAATTCAATAAAACAAACGTAGCATTTAACAAAATAAAATAAATGAATGACTGACTGAAGAAGAAAAATAAGAATTTCGATGTTGTTTCTCTCAGTTGGCAGAAAAAATATGAGAAACGAAGAAAAAAAGGTTTATACACTGTATTCTTGGTTCCTTCTTGGTACCGTTGTAACGACAGAAGGCAAGAGTCAGGCAACAGATCGTTTATTAAGGAAAATCAACACATATTTATAGATTTTAATGTACATTATGGTAAATTATTGTTAGTAGAAAATACAGTCTTTTGATTGGTTGTTTCTCACAGAAAGTTAACCTTGCATCTCTTTGTGGCTGTGTCAGATCATCCATATGCTAACTGTATCCGCCTACACAAAGCCTTTGTTCTCATTTTCTCACCACTAACATTGGGGACATAAACATCGACGTCAATTACTGTCTACCAACTTTGGCTAGCAGCCAGCCCTCACCACACCGTTATTAATCACTTTTCAAATACCAGGGGGCGAAATTTAAATTTAAAGTTTTAGAAGGAATCCGTTTAACTGGAAAGTCATTTGGTACGTTGTGTTATGACCGGAACTACGACCTAGTAGACTATGAGCGCGGATACTAACTTAATGCACTGGCTAATCTGTCTTAATCGCACGTCAACAATAACACCCTTCCGGCATGGAAAGACAAAAGAAAAGACTGGACGTCGATAAGAGAGCTTTTACTTTTATATATACAGATAAAATGACCTTGAAAAAGACAGTCATTCAGTGCTGCATTAAAAATATTAACAGCCAATAGGAATCCAGAAATTCAAACAGGGAAAAATAGTGGGGACCCGTCAGTGCGCGATAACTCTTACAATAGTTATTTTAAAAGCAAAGCAGGTGTATATAACATACATACCTATCTGTTTGTCATATTTTAATTGATTATCACACTTGCCTAATATTGAAACCCTAACCTTACAGCGGTTAGGACGCTCGCCGACCATACACATGGTCCGGGTTTTGATCCCCTGACGACGCACTCCTTTACCTCGTTAAGCCAGAAATAAAGTTGGTAAAGAGGAAAGGTTGGGCATGAGGCTAGCCTCTAGCTTGAGGCCCTATGTTCCATTGGGAAGGTGAAGGAATAAAAAAACCTTATGCAAGCCCCTTCCTCTTCGCATTCATTTCAAAGTCTAATTAGTCTCACCAACCAAGTTAAATTTGATTGATTCTTGATCCATAGTGTGATATTTTCGTGCGTATTAGTACCTTCGCTTATCTACCGTATGATAAAGAAACTTTAAAGAAAATTGAATAGTTTCCACACTTTTAGAATTCTGATAATTCACGTAGTATTCATTATTTCTGCATATGAGTGGAGCTGAGGCTCACCGGCTTTGGCTTTTGACTTCCGGCTACTGTGTTGTGGACTTGAATTGTGCTCCGCCTACCGATATTTTCGTGACAAGTATCACTAGTATCACTAGCGCTTTCATACAATAGGATGTAGCTTAATGTCAACTACAGTTGGTTGCTGAGTAACATTCAGTTTTCTCTCACTTTTCGTATAAGAAGATTAGTTTGGAAGCTCGGCTCTGAATCCAGCGCAACTCTTTAATTTAGATCACAAACTGATATCAGTTAGAGAACCGCTGAAAATCAGGGTGCACTAAACATCTGTTCCATCATGGTGGTTGCTAGTCTTCAGTAGTGCGAATCTGTGACCCTGTCAGGGATTGAACCTGGCATCTTCAGTTTACCAGAGCAAGCTCGGTGACCATTTAGTCACTTCTGGCTGGAATTCAGTAAACCCTGAATTCTATCTTTGTCAACTCATATTATATAGCCTGACTTTCATCAAGGCCTTCGATGAGAATCCACTGCGCCTTTAACATGCTGGACCCCATTGGTCACGACTTCTATCAATGAGCTGGCGATTGTTATTCAGATTACGGAAATTGTGTGAAATTTGGATCAATTTCAATTCGTAAGATTTTCATCATGAACGAAAATCAGTCAGAGAATCAGTGACAATCAGGGAGCACTGGACAGTTGTTTCATCCCATTGCAGGACTTTCCATCAGTGCGAACTCATGACCGCACCAGCCATGGAACCCCTAGATCTTCAGGCTACGAAACTGGAATTCAATGGCCCCTAGTAATAAGTCTATGGTCAAATTTCGATCACAGTTCAGCTGTGAATTTCAAGAAAAAAATAAAGGAAAAGAACCATTGAAAACCAGGGAGCATTGGACAGCTGTTTCATCCTAGTTTTGGGAATCATCGGCAGTACACACCCACTACAAGGGATCCGAACCCAGGACCTTTCGGTTACAAGGCCAGCTCGTATATCATTCAGCCACTGGGACCCGATTCAGTGGCTCATGAATTCTAACTTCTACCAATTCGTGATTTAGCGCGACCCAAGTGGCTGAATGGTATACGAGCTTGCCTTGTAACCGGAGGGTCCTGGGTTCGAAACCCAGTGGGTGCGTACTGCCGATGGTTCCCAAAGTAAGATGAAACAGCAGCTGTCCAGTACTCCCTGGGTTTCAATGGTTCTCTAATTGATATCAGTCCGCGATCAACTCGTAAAACATAACTAACCCTTACAAACCAAACTATAGAAAATAAAGGAAAAATATCTTTGTATTTAAAGGTGGAATGATGTTGCATTATACGATATTCTGTCGATGAATATTTATTTGGAGATCCAATGTGAGGAGTATTCATTGGCAAGCAGTTACGCTGAGAGTCCTGTTTCGTGCTCATACATAATTTCAAGAATGAAGCTGTTATTAATATTATTATTATTATTACTAATGTATTTTTTATTGGTTAATGAAAATGTCATATTCTCTTTTATATAAATATTTTAGATAACTCCAAATTCTCAGTTCCAACTTCCCCTTCATCACAGCCTTTATCGCATTGTTCTTCCTCTCCATCCTTTCCTGTTTGTCACAAATCATCACTGACCAGTAACTCAATACAAACTAGCAATGGGATAACTCCATCAGTGTATATCGATTGTCCAAACGCCTCAAGTTATGATGTGATTACATTCGGTCGAACATATGAACAGTATATAGCTAAAGCTCGAGCTATGGTTGCTTTATCTCCTCGAGATTTAGATGAAATCTTTAGTCCACTACGGGAATTAGCCTGTATCGTTGATAGTGAAAATAATCTCTCACCTACTACTGGTAGGCATCATTGTCCCCTGAATGATGAAATAGCTTTAGATGATGTTAGAAATACACTGGCTCATCATCGATGTGCAACTGTCCCGTTAACAATGACGACAAATCTCAGTCATACCAAGCAGCGGTGTGCTACATCGACAAGTATTACAAAAAATTTGAGTAGATTAACTCAAGGATTAAAAATCTCTTTAACTGATTTGTCATCTCATGCTGAACATGCTGAAAATGATACACTGAGTGATGGTGATCGTAGTAATGGTCATTGTTCATCTGGTGGGAGTTCACCACGACATATTGTCAGTCGTATTGCTGTAACGCATAACCGAAACACTTTCAGTAATGATTTAATCACAAAAGTGAGTTGTGTTTTTTGTTGTTGTTATTGTTGTTGACTATACAATTCATGTTAATGTTATTGTTAGGTCACAGATTTTGATATCTAATAAAAATCTCAATCGAAATGCGAGTAATAGTTGTTTGACCCTTATATGTTTAGAATTTCTAAGGTCTCATATTCTCAGCTTCTTGTATAGTGGAACATAGAATTGGTTGGCGGATTTCATCATGAGCTGACATCAGTTAGAGAACCATTGGAAAATCTGCAGGGAGTAATGGAGAGCTGTTTCCTCCATCCTAGTTTTGGACTCTACAGCAGTGATGAAGTTCTCCGACCAATCAAACAATATCCCTACAACACCAATACTTGAAAATTGATCTGATGCTCACTAGCGACTGGTGCTGTTCAGACAGTTACCTGGGGTTCTAGTGGGAAGCCGTGACCAGTAGGGTACAGCAGGTTGAAGGTGAAGGAGTAACTCATCGAAGAAGACATTGAGAAGTGGTTGCGTTATGTCATGAATCGGCAGAAGCTAGAATTCATGAGCTAACCACTGGATCGGGTTGGGTCCCGGTGGCCTTGTAACCAGAAGATCCTGGGTTCGAACCCTGGCGGAGTGCGTACTGATGAAAAGTACTGAAGTAGGACGAAACAACTGTCCTTTACTCCCAGGTGGTTTTCTAATGGTTCTCTGGCTGATGTCAGCTCATGATGAAATCCTCCAACCAATAAAACAAAATCCCTACAAAACCAATACTTGGACATACAATCACCAGATCTAGTGTTTGTACTACATGACACTGTCATTAGTCTGAGTGAATAGTTGAAAGTTATCATCTAGTTTGAGATGATTATAGCGTCTGTCATCAACTTCAAGCCTATATGATGGTTTTTATCTGATTTAATGACTCAGATGTATTTCAGTATCGTAAAAATGAATCTCCGTCTACCCTTCCACAGTCATGGCTCAACCATAGTACCTTAGGATTTCCAAACATGTATTTTGTTTTCCTGTATCAAATTGAGTCTCCAACACCGCAGCCGACAGTTCCAAATTTCACAGTGTGCAAATGATCTGTTCCCTCCACTTTTTTCATCTGTTTCAGTTGATTTAACATTTCAAGATGAAGTGGTTAGTTATGCGTTGCACATCTGAAGCTGTGTTGATGTGATTGTGTTCTCTGAGCTGGATAGTTAATTTGCGAAGCTTTCATCGCCCCCTTTTAGGCAACATCTTCAGTGCATACTTCAATTCGATGAAGTGAGCTTTTTGATTTCTCCACGAGTTCATTAATCATCTCTTCCGGTGACCTTGAACGTCGTGATTGGTTGTTTTTGTGTGTTCTCACACCATCTAGGCTGCTTGTATTGGAACTGATTGTTTCCTTGACCTGAAATTTGACCCTTTGTGTGTGAGGTTTCCTTCTTATAAGTTGGTGAACTTTGACTATATCAATGCGTCTATTGATTGCCAATTCACTGGAATACCAGGCAGCCTTCTAAACATTCTCTAGCATTCTTGGTGTTTCTTCTGTCTAATATTTGAACGCTGGTTGTCCCAGTCGAATCGATGTCCATGGTTGCCTGTGTGCAGTGATATGAGCGAGGGAGTGGATGTCATGTCTTTTGACGGTTAGTTTGTGATCATGGATACGAAGACGAAGCGGACGTCCACTCTGGCCAATGTAGTTTTCTTCGCAGTTGTTACAATTTATTTTGTAGATGATGTTGGTTTCATCTTCTTTCGTTGTTGAACCTTTTGGTTGACATAGAATTGAGTGAAGTGATTTTGTTGGTTTGTGTGCGATGTTGATTCCTAAAAGTTTGAAGAGCCTTGTAGTGATTCCTGAGATGTCCTTTATATATGGTAGGTCGGTTTTCTTTATGTTTTTCTTGGGGACCTTTGATTTGGTATGTTGGCTTGAGGGTATATGTCCTTTGATGAAATTCCGTGGATATCCATTCTTTTGGAAGACGTCTATGAGAGATCTTTCTTCAGGCTGTGTTGGTTGGTCACTGAAGCTACTAAAACCCCAATAATGTGGTCTGAACTCAGGAAACCGATCCATGCGTTCTCCTGCATAGCCAGCCTAAAATTCCTTGAGTTGCGCGCGACTACAAAATACCCCGTAGATATCAAAAAGACAGTTATTCGGGACGATACTATTTAGCAACAATAATATATAAAAACCCGAAATTACCTCAAAAGCGCCGTTAGGCGCCTATACTAATTAGATAAATTTCTAGCTAAAAATAAGTACTGTAGAACAAAATTAGCTGGCCAGAAATAAACCGTAAGCAGCACCTGACAATCAAGTGGAAAATTCCCAACATGGGGGGAGAAAAACTCCGTCAAGAACCACACACCAGTACAAACAATTCCCGTAGACAGTCCAAAGTCAGAATAACCTTGACTTACTCAAATAAAATTGCTGTCGTAAAACAACATATCATCAATACCATCAAACAACCATAAGGAGAAGCCATGAATAAATACAATACAGGTCAGATTGTATACAGGTCAAGGTCACAAATAATGGGTAGGGAGACACAAAAGGTGTGGGTAAGAAAGTTAAAGAGAGAAAAACAAGGCAAAGAAGGGGTTGAAATTATTAGGAAGTAAATTGGCCCTTGGTTCTAAATTGGATTATCAAGGCAGGTTTAAGGTGATAACAAATAATTTTTGGACACATAAGACAGGTTTAAGTCTTTTTATGGCTAAGGCTTCAATGAATTTAAGTATGTGGCCCAACCTTGTTTTATATATCGGCTTAAAAGCATTGTTGAAATCAACCTTATGACCCGTCTCTATAATATGCTTGGCTTTAGATGATGTTGGACATCTATTTCCTGGTTCACTTGTGTCTGGCGATTTCATTTGTTGTTGCAGCCACTTTGGAATGTGTTATATAAACTGTGTATGACAAGTACGTGTGTGATCAGAATGTCCGAAATGTGTTGCGCCAATAGATTACACGTTTCAGATAAACTAAGTCTTCTTATTGTGTTGTCGAAATTCATAAAGGGAACTAATTGCTTTAAATAAGGAGAAGCATTAAAATTAGGGATTAATTAGGGACAACGACAAACAATAAGGATCAAATCAGCATATGATACGCAAACGTTAGATCCTAGATATACAGCCTAGGGGAAAAGAGTATAATGAATGAAAGGTTAGTTGAAACATCCAAATAAGTGGGATTATCGTAAGTCGATTGTTGAGGAGGTATTTTGCAAACAACACTGTTCTGTTACAGTCACTAGGGAGTGACAATTATTATACGTTTAATCCTTTATGTTAGTGTTGACTGAATTATCTCTTAGTTTCTGGTTTTGTGAAGTGGTCACCAAGATGAGGAAGGTGATGTGAGTAAGGGAGAGTGATGCTCAGGAAGGCTTTGTGTGCTTTTGGAAGTGTGTGGGCGGTTTTTACTTCCCGGCTGCCCACACAGTGGGAGTTGATTGATTTTTCGGGAACCTGAAACAGAAAGAGTGTTGCGTGACCGCATAGGCCAGGAGACAACTGCTTGAGGCCTGTTTTTGTTTGTTCTTTTTTGTTTGGTGTGTCTCAATAGCATATTTATCACTTCTGCCCTGTGACACGGCAGCAGGAAGCGCGGTCGTTGTTAATCCGAGCCCCGACCAATCCGGCATGATATTTTGTGATTTTGTTTGAATCATAGTGTTGGATTGGGTAGCTGCTTTTGTCTAACAGCTATCCAAACAACCTTTCTGGCATAGTAGGACCTCAAGCGACATAAGTCTCAGCCAGTTTAGCTTGTAGGGTCATTGCGGTGTTCAAGCCCGACCACCACGTCAAGGTAGCAGCTTTCGGTCGGGGGTCACCAAGATAGGTAACGTGTTAAAGCAGTGCACTTTGAATTGGCGTTAGATGGTTTAAGGCGGTTGATAGGAATCTCTGGAGCTACGTTTTAAGTTTACTGGTACTTATCAGGCAAAGTTGAAGGAATTGATGTCCCCTCTTAGATTCATACGTGCATCACACAGTGCTACAGTTTGAAACTTTACTACCTAGCCATTCTTACTCGCCGTTGACCTCCTCTTTTGAACATATCAGACTGTCTGTTCAAATTAAATTATTATTTTTGTATATTTTTTATGGAGATTGTCTGAATGCTTCATATGTAGACAGATTATCCTTTTATGGTTATTCTTCTCTCAAGCAGACATCCTTTTATGGACATCTCTCACGCCTACGCCATCGGCCATATATATATATATATATATATATATATATATATATATGCGTGATTATCCAAACCTTCGTCGGCTTTGGGGTGAATTCTAACTTTAAGTTCATTAGTTAAAATTTAAGTACCTGAACTGTCGAGTATCTTAAAAATCCCCATTGAGTCATATGAAGAAGAGAAGACGTTCAGCGAAAAGACTCTTTCCGTCGAATTCCTCATTACCACTGTTGCTGGCTTGAGCAACGCTCAATTTCTAGTCATTTATGTTACGTCATCCAACTTATTTGCTCAACTTTAGTTCTAATTTAAATGCATTATTCTCTACCCCACTTCTACTTAGTCTCTACCTGTAATTACCTCTGTTGAAACATTTTAGTCAATTATATTACGTCATCTAACTTACTAACTCAATGTTACTTTAGTTGCTGTCTAATTAACCTTGTTTCTATATTAGATCATTCCTGTATTACCTGATTAATTATCTAAACTTGACAAACCTCATGTACACACACACACACACACAAATAATTATATATAAATGCAGTTGTACAGCAGCTATGTGAATGAATTCGCCGTTGAAAAGAGTCTCTTCGCTGAACATCTCTTTTTCATATAAACTGTCTAGCTATATATTTCCATGTAATTCCCTATACGATGTACACATTGCTTTCAATTACTTTCTCCTTTCATTTAGACCATAACTGTGATACCAAACAGCATTCCAGATCCTTCATCTCGTACAACAGCGACAACAACAACAACTACAGTAGCAAATAATCGCTCATCAGCTGTTAGATCTAATTCACTG